GTTACAAAAGTCTTAAATTTGTGAGCACTGGGCCTGGGATATAGCTCAGCAACACAGTTTCCTGCCTGGGAAGCCGCAGGTCCTGAGTTCGATTCACCAAAAAAAAAAAAAAAAAAAAAAAAAAAATTGTGAACACCCAGGAACAACTAAGAAGTGTAGTAAGGCTTGCTGTATATGACCATCGCTTAGCAAACCTGCAACATGTTCTAAGGATGGCAGTAACAGAAACACTAGAGAACATCTTCAAAACTCCAGCTTTCATTCATTTGCTGGTATCCCTGTAGAATCCCAGACAGAATATGCCACATGGCCAAGTGCCACATGAAAGGGTTCCCCTCACTGCTTAGGACCTCATGAGGCACAGCCCTGTGTGTCCTGGTACCCGCAGGAGCAAGCTGTGACCATTCACTCAGTCTGTTGCACCCACTGAGGGTGTTTTGTTCCCTTACCTGAACGATAGGGAACAGAGAAATGCCGTGGTGCTTCCCTGAGACAGCAACTGGTAGCCATCAAGTCCCGAATGTGCACAGTCTGGTCCAGCTCTGAGCTCACACGGATGATTGATCGCAGCTCTTTTGGAGAGTTCTCTGAAAGGGAGCTTTGAAGCTTGTGTGAATACATTCAGCACAAGTGCGGGCGCACGTGCCCCTGCCTGCCTCTGTACGTGCGGTTGTGTGTGCATGTTCAGTTGCATCTGCTCTTCTTTCAGGAATAAAAGTTTAGCTCCTGAAGTTTTTATACGGAGCAAAAGAAACAGGGCCGGGTGATGCAGACCTCTAAACCCAGCTGCTGAAAATCCGTAAGGCAGAAAGGTTGTATGTTCAATGTTTGCCTGGGCAATTTGGACTCTCTCGAAATATAAATAAAAAAATAAAAATAAAATAAATAGCTGGAAATGTAGCATAGCAGTAGAGTTTTTGGCAAGCATGTACAAGGCGCTGGGTTCCATCCCTAGTTAGTTGTGGGGTAGGAGGGAGGGCAGACAGAGACAGACACAGAGGCAGAGGCAGAGACAGAGACAGACAGAAAAGAAAGAAGAAATGTGAAAGAATTCTGGACAGAAATATTGAATCACAAGGGAAAACGTAATAAAAAATACAGATTTTTAAAAATTCCTAAGATATACAGGAAACGCTGTGAAAGGGTGAACTTAAGTTGGGCCCGACAAATAGCTCAGAGTGTTGAAAGTGCCTGCTTAGGCAGACTCAGGGGCTAGGAGTTGCATCCCCGGGCACACTGAGACGGTGATTGAGACTGGGCACAGTGGCATGCACCTAGAATCCCAGCACTTGGGAGGCTATAAACAGGAGGATCACTGTGAGTCCGACCCATGCAGTAAGACCCTGTAGACGCTGTCCTAAATACAAAAAAAAAAAAAAAAAAAAA